ATAAAAAATTTAATTTTCAGATGAACAGAGCAATTTTGTCTTAGCAAAAACAAGACCCTGTGGATGACATTGTGCTAATATCGAAAGTACTCGGGAATAAAATGGATATACATCAACATGATAATTTTCTTTCCTCCTTTAATAAGGGTACTAAGAAACTTGTCTGTAAATAGGAGAGGATCCTATTACGAATAAGTAAACAAAACTTGCCTAAAATATTTAATGAGTCATGTCTTTTTATATATATGTGTGTGTGTGTGTGTGTGTGTGCGCATATTTATGTATGTGTGGCATGTCTAGAGTTGTTCCAACTTGCCACAAAAATGGCAACTGCTGAAGGAAAAGAAGAAAAAGTGGGGAGGGGGGGCTAAAGAGCAAGAGTAAAGTGAAAAAATAAAACTAAAACTACAAATGATCATGGCACCTTCACATACTGAAAAAAAAAACTGGTACCAATGTTAAATATATAAAAAATAAAAAAAATATAAGCAGTAAATTGCTGATACCCCCTGAAAAGTGGAAGACAGGTCTGCCTACAAAACTCTGGAGTTAGGATGCTGAAGGTAACACAAATCAGACAAGTAACAAACTCTTACTCATATTAATCTCACACCACCAAACCAAAAGAAACCAAGCTGGCAGAGAAAAAGACAAATGTAAAAAAAACAAAAAAACAAAAGGAACCTATCCCAACTTAAGATACAAAATGCCCAAGTCTAAAAAAAAAAAAAAAAAAAAAAAAAAAACCCAAAATCCAATATCAAAATGCTAAAACTTCAGTGACTTCCTGTTTCACACAATGAAGCAATCTTCAAATGGTTCAAAAAATGAAAACGAAAAAAATGAGCCTAGTATCCAATCCACTTAGGCCGTGTAAGTAAAAATGTCCATACGGAAGGGGTAGGGGGGGGATTGAGATTATGCAGTAAGGAAAAGCTATCAATATTAGAGTTGGATATAATGAATTGCCAAGTTTTTAAAGTGTCTGGTTTAAGTTTTCATTTTTTTTTTTTTTTGTTACAAATCACCCAGACAATTTTTTTAAAAATTGTCCACTCATGAATGGACTACAGACTAGTGTCATTTCATTCTTTGAATCATCTGTAGATTGTTTCATAGCATGAAACAGAAGGTCACAGTTTTTGTTTCTCTGGCATTTTAGGATATATCTCCATGAGATCACTAAAAAAGAGCATAGTCTGATGAAAATACACCAAACTTAAAAACAAAATTTTATGGTCTAATTGTTTATGTTACTATTAAGAGGAAAGAACAAAGTAATCTTTAATTATTTTTTAAAATTTTTCTGTTTTTATTAACTTTTGACTGAAAAACCTTGTTTCTTGTCATCACCGGAACTCTAGGAAATAACATGGCAAATTTTTTGTACATTTTTTTTTTTATGACAGACATTAATTTTGAAAATCTTGCAAAAATAGAAATAATTGTCAGATTTTAATGAAACTTTCAGAAACTATTCAGGAATGATGGAAATTATTATAAATATATTATTTTTTTTTTTAAAAGTCATTATATATATATATATATATATATAGTAACAAGCATTTTGGCAGTAAAATTCTACTTTTGACAAGTTTCAGGCCGTTTTTATCACGCTATGTTAAAAATAACGAGGTAGTAAACAAGTTGTTCACATAAAGGTAAACTGTCACTTATGACCTTCCGTACTATAACTTTCCTCACATAAGATGTCAGTGTGTGATGAAATCACGCACGTCACTCATCAATCAACACCGCTGTTAAGACCAACTTTCTCTCATTTTAAAGTACATTTTTTCAGTGCAGAAAGTAAGTAATCTTTGTTTCAAAATATATTAAATAAACTTTATAATTTCTAATTTTCTTAATTGATTTTTTAAATGAATTTTAAACAAAGGCTTTCACTTTTGTAAACAAAAGTTTAAAAAAAAATGGCTGACAATTGATTTGCTGTCAATTTTGCTGATTCAAAAAAGTTCAAGATTTTTAACGAAAATTTTGGATGTGCTAGAAATTATTAAAAAATGTAAAAAAATATTCAAAAAATACTTTGTATCCTCGTGATAATAACAAACATTTAGATGATAAATTATTTTCATCAAGTTTAAGGCATTTTTTATTCATGGTATGTTATTTTTTTATGGATCTCATAAACATACCTATACACACACACGTTAGATAAAACTGCAAGTTTTGTACCCAGTGTTCTTTTTTTTTCTAAATAATTTAAAAACGTCTAATGCATTTGCAAATATTTACTTATATTTCAATAGTAAAATTATATAGTCATTTTACACTATTTTTAAGAGTTTCATTTGAGATACTACATATTTGGTACCAAAATTATCAACAATCAATACACATTCTAAACGTAATAATGTCTTTGATCTTGTCTAATCAAATGAAATTAAACTTCCAAGATATATCTAATATATATACTTTATAGCTGTTTAACTTAGATAACTCTAAGAAATTGCTAAAAAAATAGCATAGCATGATG